GTGGGCTATTTCAGAACAAAAGTGTGATTGTTGAGCCCAGTACTCCCTTTGTCATTGGGAGATCAAAATGTGAAAGTTCTCTGGAGACAGATAGGCAAGAAAATTCTTCTGCTCTCCCCCCAGCTTCTTGCCTATTCAAACTTATTATCTGGTTTGCACCAAAGTCATTGCCCTGTGTATGTGTGTATGGGATGTGTCAAGAAAACAGAGTTGGGACAGCATGAAGAAGGTGGGTACAGTGCTGGCTGCAATGGTAGGGGGTACTTGGCTGGCCCTCTCCATAGGGGTCGACGTTCAGCCTCATTAATTTTGCCTTCATTATATTTAAGAAATGGTTTATCAAAGACTTTTCCCTCTAAATTTCTTGCCTGCATCTCACATTTAACTTAAAAGTTGTATGCTGAATTTTAAGGCTGCTCTTTGTGCATTTATATCAATATTTATAGATGATACATTATTTGGAGGAGAAAATGATGCAGATTATCCATTTTTTGTAAAGACGGAATTCTAAGAGGAAGAAAGTGGGAAATTTGCCAGTAGAATGCTGATATCTGGCTAATAACTCATTGTATGTTGATCTTGACTCAGGTTTTTCCTAGCTTTAATAAATCTGTGATGCTTGCAGGAACTAGCCAAATTGGTACATATGATTTGTAATTCTGAAATCACTGTTACTTCCTCTGAGAAGCCATGTCTATGCATGTAAGTATGTTACAGTGGGGCACTATCGTCAGAATTCTTTCATTTAATACATGATGATTAAAATGGAATAACAACATTTTTCTTCATAGAACAAATCATCTGTTGGGTGCCTTGATTTAACATTTAACTTTTAACTGTTGGCAGTCTAGCAGATCAGTGAGATTATGTATATGAAAAATAATCCAGTTATAATTGTATTTGAGAGAGGATATTTAGGGTTTTTTTTTTTTCTCTCTCTAACTCCATATGTATTTGAAGAAGCAAGTCATTCTGCAAACAGCTGTTTCTCTTAAGATACTGTGGCTGACAAAGGGTAATTTGCAGACTCCCAGGTTCCTTTTCTTATTCTGATGTATGGTAGGGCTTTTTCTCATGAACGTAAAGTACATTTCACAGGGTTTTTCTATCACCCAGTGCCTGGGAAGTCTTGTGTCTGACAGACTGACTCTCATAACTCCCTAGACATAGGTGGGATTTGAATCTCTACAATGAGACTTTTCTCTCTTAGTCAAAGGCTTTGTATTCATTTGGGAGAAGCCTGAAGGTAGGAAAAAGGTAATAGATTGAATTTGGGAGGCTTTATAAATGTTCTGCAACGTATCCCTTTGTCTGTCATCAACTTCTTGATGCAGATGTACTTCAGAAATGTCATCGGCTATTTTCTCCCCCTGCTTGCTGCTTTTTGAGTGCATTTTTCAAAGACAGTAGATGGGAAAGGGGAGTTAGAAGATTCGTATGATTCATAGGTGTAGTAGCACTTATTTCAGCAGAGAATCGCTTTCCTATTGAATCACTTTGCTATTTTCTTAACTCAGTAACACAGTGAAAGACATGTTTTTTAAGTCCAAAAGGAAATGGAAAAGGAGGGAAATTGAGGCAAGCATAAATGAGCTTGCACTCTAATCTCTTCAATGTTTCTTTAATTTTCAGTGTACATGGGAAGGGGGGAGAGAGAGAGTTAATTTTCATGTCTTGACTCCCCTTAGCTGCTGATTTTAGTATGTAGCCTGCTCTGCCAGAGGATGGCAACTGTCGTAGGTACATTTACAGAGTCTTTTAAGACTTGGTCTGATACTTTGCACTAGTGTGTGCCAACTCTGAACCTGTGGGTCTAGATTGGAAGAAGGAGGACTTGGGACACCATTGACTTGGCTAGGGAAACATGAAGGGTGAATTTTCAGAGCCAAGATGGCTGCTGGGCTATCACACCAAACTGTTATAGACCCAATGTGATAGGTACCTTGTGGCCCACTCAGAGTGCTTAGGTGGCCTACAGAAATCATTGGAACTTTCCTAGTACAGAGTCATCGATTTTCCAAAGGACAAAAACAATAGATGATTGCCTCCTCCACTGGGACAGTCCCTCCCTAATCCCCACTCCATCCCAACCTTACATGCCTTACCAAAGCCTTAATTCTATACAAGGATTAAAAAACAAGTGTTAACAGATGTCAAAAACCAAGTTTGTTCTCTCCCAAACACCAATTAAAGTATTTTGGCCTATAATTACGTTTGGGCCTCTTGAAGAATGAATGCTATGTAGACGAGATTTATTATCACCAAGTGTTGTGCGTATAAATATATTATCCTGAGTTCTAATGTCGTTTTGAAAAAAACAGGGGCATAGTTTTCTTTTGAAATGTTGTATTCCATGGATAATATAGATATTAAATTACTTGGTCTCCTCATCTATTGTTTGGATAGAGAATGCAGATTTTTATTTTATTTTATAAGCTTTCTGGAACATAAGCAGCAGTCTCTGGTAAGGTGGTGTTGCTATGCATTTGCATTGTTATAGAATTAAATTATGGATTCTGTCATTCAAAATAGAAGCTTTATAAATCAAGTAAAATCTCATAACTAAGATGAATAAGTTTCTTTAAATCTCATGCTGCCTCATATTCCATACTTTAGTTTTATAGCCCAACTTGATATAATTTTTTAAAGTGTAATTCTCTTTTTTTCTATTTCTGTGTACTGCTTTTGCTCTGCTAAACTGTCATTATTTCCCAAGAAAAAGCTTAAGATAAGTTACTTTATGTAAAGGATAGTGATATAAAAGCACAAAGGCATGTTCACTTCTTTATCTGTATATTGGCAGGAAATGTGCCAAATACAGTGTGTTCTCTCCCTCCCTTTCTTCTTCTCTGTCTGATTACATTCAATGTAGATGATATTAAAACTCAGTTGTAACAAATGGTGAAATTCCAATTATTCTTTTTTCTTTCTTTTCTTTAACTTATCTAATGTTTGGAATTCCTGAATATGAAAGACAGTCTTAATTATATAGTTTTTTTTTTTTTTTTTTGCAGTGGAGTTACAAATTGTGTTCCATGCTTATGTATGCTAATTGTCTAAACAAGCTGTCTAGGTGGCTCTATAATCCTTAAGCAATACTGCTGAGCTGCCTAATTTGTTTTCCCACTACTGCTGTCTAACTACCCCAAAGCACAGGAACTAGAGTGGTGGCCCTAACCGGGAGTATGCAGCAAGATGAAAAATAGTCAAATGAGAAGGAAGGTCAGTAGTAAGTTATTTAGACCTGGTTAGGCAGCAGGGTCTCCAAATGCAGCTGCAATTGGTTAAAAAACAAAACAAAACAAAAGACTGAAATTCAGAAGAGAGGTCGGGGTAGAGATAGAGATTTAAGATCCGAGCAATTGTACAAATAGATGGAACTTTGAGGCAACTTAGTCTCTCCAGGGAAAAGAGATTAGAGAGGAGAGCAAGAGGATTTAGAACAGGGCCTTGGGGAAATCTTTAATGTTAGGTGTGGGAGGAGGAAGAGAAACCCTGAAGTAGAAGTATAAACTAGAATGCTTGGCTGTGGAAGTCACCAAGTGCCACTGCCTCCATCAGCTGTTAATTCTGAGCCGGATCACCTCAGTTATGTAGATGGACAGTGGAGAATCTAGGAACTGAAGATCCTTGTGACTTTCTGCCTTGCATCACGTTGGTGGGTGTAAAAAGAAGCTTATGGTTTCTCTTAGGGGTACATTTATGGGGAAAAGACCCCCATTATTGTGATTTAGCATACACAGGGGTCTGCTTATACTCATTATATATGTTGAAGTTGTGTAGCTATTCCTAGGCTACTTTTAAGAATTTAGGAGGATTAGGTTAACATGATTCTTAACTCATACTACCAATAAATTATTCTTTCTCCAAGATTTGCATAGAAATACAGAAGTACATAAAACTAAGATAGCATTTGATTTTGTAAATCATTTTAATTTAATTAAATGTAAATTGAGCAATGGGAAAAACAAAAAGACAAACTCGACAGAAAACAATGATATGTCTTTTAATCTCTCACACTGACTTTTAAGTTATACTCAGCTTCTTGACAGAGGAGGTAAAACAATAGAGCCACCTTGTCCTAGTGATCTAATATTTAAAAAGAGCAGTTGCAGTGCATCTGGGTTTGCATTATATGTAGCTCTAGAAAAGTTTTGAAGGACACATCTTGATTCTCAATGACATTATAGGAATGTTTTAATAACAACTAAACAATGGAGAAGCCATTGCATAAACTGTGTAGGCATCATAAATAAGGAAACTGCACATAGCATGTGTTGAATGAAAACATTTGGTGAACAAACTCATTTTTCTCTTGGGAATTCAGGTGGCCTAGCAGCTCGCACTCTTTGGTCCAAAAAAAGTTGCCCCTTTGCTCCCCACCTTCCCCTCCCCCAATAACCTCATGTACTGTAAAGAATCTTAGCATCTATGGGAAATAGAATTGTTTGCAGTTGTGCTTTCTTAAAAGGTTTATGGTGGACCTAGTAATCCAAATAAGAGAGAATCATTAGCTTCTTTGTGTACTGCTCGTGAGTTAAACACAGTAATGGGTCACATTGTGACAATGTGATCAACAACTAGTCCAGTGACATCCTTTGCTGCTACATAGTAAACACCATAATCAGCGGCCATGCCAGCATTTAGGTGACACCAAAAGCATGTTTGATTCCACGGACCTGACACACTATCCTGTCTTGAAAGTGCTTAACATCAATAAAAAACATTCAATTAGCTGAGGTTCCAAAATACACTTTGGTCTCCATCATGCAAGTGAGCTAAGGCCATTGTCTCCGGAACCTAAAGAACAAAATGGCTGCCAGGCATAGGGATTTATTATTTCATTAACAGACTGTCAGTGAATTTCAGGGTATTTCTCGCCTTATGTGGATTCAAGATGAAGAGTTTTGGAGCTTAGATTGTCCCCAGATAATGGAGTCCAAAATTTATCTATTTGTGTATAGTTTTAATTAAATATTTTCCCCATTCTTCATTGTTAGGGTCGGTGTACTCGAGAGAACTGCAAGTACCTTCACCCTCCTCCACACTTAAAAACGCAGCTGGAGATTAATGGGCGGAACAATCTGATTCAACAGAAGACTGCCGCAGCCATGTTCGCCCAGCAGATGCAGCTTATGCTCCAGAACGCTCAAATGTCACCACTTGTAAGTCGCAGCTATGTTTTGAAAATTGCCAATAAAGATCTACAGTGGAATAACCTGGCAGGGACTTGCAGAAATTAGTTGCAACAGGATTTAGGACACAAACTAATATGTTCATTGACACTACAGAGCTGTGCACTTGAAGAGAGCAGTCAGGTGTGTTGCACTGAAAACCTGGCTGCATTTATGCATGAGTTCAGTTTATAAAAGAATATGGATAAAGGAGCAGGGGCATTTTAAGATAAGGAGAGTTGATTATTGTTACATGGAAACCTTTGAATTCTAGGACATTAAGTCAAACAAAGTTTCTTGTTTGATGGGGATTTTGGTGTTGTTTTGTTTTGTTTTGTTTTGTTTTGTTGTTGTTTTTTGAGACAGAGTTTTACTCTTGTTGCCCAGGCTGGAGTGCAATGGTGCGATCTAGGCTCATTGCAACCTCTGCCTCCCGGGTTCAAGTGATTCTCCTGCCTCAGCCTCCCAAGTAACTGGTATTACAGGTGCCTGCCATCACACCCAGCTAATTTTTTGGTGTATTTTTAGTAGAGACGGGGTTTCACCATGTCCAGGCTGGTTTTGAACTCCTGACTTCAGGTGATCCACCTGTCTCGGCCTCCCAAAGTGCTAGAATTACAGGTGTGAGCCTGGCCTGTTGTTGCTGTTAAACAAACTTTTTATTGTGAAATAATTTTAGATTTACAGAAAAGTTGCAAAGGTATTAATAGTACAAAGAGTTCCTATATTACCTTTCACCCCATTCTCCCCACTGTTAACATCTTATATTACCCTGGTAGATTTGTCAAAAGCAAGAAACTGGAATCACACGTCATTACTATTGACTAAACTCCAGACTTTATTCAGATTTCCCCAGGTTTTCTGTTAATGTAATCTTTCTATTCCAGTGTCTGATTCAGGGTACCAAAGTGCATTCATTTGAATTTTGCCTCCCCTCTCTTCTCTGCTCTGTGACCATTTCTCAGTTTTTCCCAATTTCCCATGATCTTGATGGTGGCTTTCCCTTATCTTAGCTACAGGGTTTCCCTATGCAGAAATTAGTAAGATTATGTCATTCTAGACAAATATCTACTATTTTGTGGACTTGTGAGTTTAAATGGATTCTTTATAAAGTACTTAAGCTGTATCTGTTCATATTATTCTATTGAAAATTCATCTTGTCCCTATGCCTTAAAATATAAACTTTCATTTTGCTTTTACACCTCTTAGGGTGAATTGAAAACTGTCCCTTTTCTGCTATAGTTCTTCAGGCCTCACATTTAGTTCAGTGGTGCCTCATTCTAATTCCAGCTGACCTACTTCCTTTAAACTATTAACAGGATAAATTTGAAAATCCTGTTACCTTTATTTGTTACCCATTTAATCAGTGACTACAATGAACTTGAAAGCTGAAATATGTATATAGTATTTAGATGCAATGAAAATGTGGGAGGACAATCTGCTGTCAGTAAAACCTATCTCATTATAAAGTTGATTCTCAGAATTCAAGGATATCTGTGTTGATATGGAACCCTTTAATGAGTACATCTTTATGGATATATGCAAAAACAGATGGGAGAGGCAATGATGAATCACTAAAGGTTTGCACCATACTTTTTCCAGAATGTCTAGACAGATTTAAGTAAAATAAATAGATGTCATGTTCTGTACTATTAGTTTACCAAAAAGTTTTGCCTTGGAACTCAGATTAATTATGTTGGTAAATTAGTTTCTAGAAGGTGAACTCCTCGAAGCTCCTCTTTGACCCTCAGTAATTCTTTACATCTTTGAACTCCTTGCGCAAACGCTTTTTCTGGGCTTTCATATACTGACGTATCTCAGTCCCTCCCTACTTCTAAGGGCAGAGGGAAGATAAAGTCTTTTGGATACTGAAAATTGTTATGAACAAAACCACAGAGAAGTGAACGTGCTTGGTAAGTCCAGAAAATGTGAGTGGCTGGGGAATAAAGCAAGGCAGCTTTTATTTTTTTCCCAGTTTTATTGAGGTATAATTAACAAATAAAATTGTGTATATTTTAAAGTGTACAGCATGTGATGATTTGTTAGACGTATACATTGTGAAATGAGATGACATGGATGAACTTGGCAGGCATTATGCCAAGTGAAATAAGCCAGACAGAGAAAAAACAAATACTGTATGATCTCACTCATATGTGGAACCTTGAAAAAACTGAATGCATAGAAACAGAGTAGAAGGGTAGTTGCCAGGGGATGTGGGTGGGAGGGGATGGGGGAAGATGTTGGTCAAAGGTATAGCAAGGGAGATTTTAACGCACAATTACTACTCTCAGCTTCTCATGGGATGTCTCAATTCAAACTGAGCAAAGACTAGGAAGCAGATTTCATTATCAGACACCTGAGCCCAGTGTTTCCTACAGAGCTGGAGCATTTATCTTTTCAAAGGTCGAGGGACAGCTTCAGGGTACTAGTGAAATGCCTTGTTTCAGGGAATCAGAGAGCAAGAAGTGGGGTAAAGTAGGGGTACAGAGGAAAGCCGTTCTATTCAGCCTCTGCTAGAGTCTCTCCAATTCAAGTCTCAACCCTTCAAGTGTTATTGATCATGCTAGCTCATACTGGAGAATAGAGAGTAGCTTTTTTGAGAATCCAATAAGAAATCCATTGTGCTTTCCAGCCTCTTCACTTGTGCTTTCTAATTTGATTCTCCATCCTTTCTATGTTAGAATATGTTTCCCTGTCTTTTCTTCAATGAGGGTAATTTTAGATTTCAGATGACGGAAGATGACTGATATGATTCACAGGAGTACAATTTATTTTATAGAATGTTACAAGATACAAGGCATTACTTAGAAGACCCAAGGGAACAATTGGAAATTGCTTCTCTACCTTGTAGGTTATTTAATGATAGCTATTATGATGCAATGAGCTGCTAAATGATTAATTCCTGCAGTTATTATGTGTACAAAAATCTAACTCCAAGATGGTTGATATGTTCCTCTTCTATGGTCTAAGGAAGCCACTTTATAGGCATGGTGTAACTGAGCTAGTGTGAGCAATTTTAAATAACATTTACCAGCCTGATTTGGAAAAAAAATTTCTTTGTTGTAGATCTTGATATTATTACAGAAGTAATGTATGATTTTACTTAATTTCTCTGGTACCTACTCTCCCTCAAACAACTCTCTATCCCTTTCAATCACCGCACCCAATAATCTGATTCTTGTTTCTAAGATGGTCATGCTTTTGTTTAAGAAATTTCCAGTCCTGATATTTGTAGGGTTGCATATTAAGACCCATTTGTATCACTGGCTTGAACTTCATGTCTTTCCACAAAGAATACTTTGATCTGTTTCTAGGATACCAGAAGAGCACATCTGCCTTTGCAGAATTGAATATGGTTTGCTTATTATAAGCCCCTAGATAAAGGGAATGTCAACCTAAATGCGATGGTACCTAGAGAACAGATTCTGTTGAGTGTAACTGAACAATGAATAAAAGCCACACCTAGTCAATTTGGGTGGAATGCTTGCTGGAACAGGCAAGTTTGTTCACTCTATTAAACAGATCTGAATTGACATTTGCCAGTATAAAAGTCCATCTCTGAAAGCTTTTTTTTTGGCTTTATTAAGGAAGTTCAGCAGGTGAAACAAAAGGTGTGACTACCTAGTATTTTTCAATGCAGTTTAAAAGAGATTGTTCCTGATGTTCCCAGCAAAAAAAAGTATAAGTTGAAGTATCCCCTTGCCATAATCAGGAGGCAAATACAACCACTATAGAAGAATATTAGAAAGAGTAGGAACAGTGGATTACCCTGAAGCAAAGCGAATGTTTTAAAATTTTGGTTTTACAATTAGAAATTTTAGTTATGAGGAAAGATTCTCACTACTGGATGTGGTGTATGTATTTATAAAGTGAATATGATATTACAGGCTGTTAAAATGTTTTATTTGGACATTTTGCATATCTACACCTGTCCATATCCAAACTAAAGGAATACCTGGGAAATTCCTCTATTTTCTCTCTTTGAATGTAGTGATTCACATGGAAACAGATCCTGACACACAAGTGAACTTGACTCAGTAGAGTGTATTCATTTGATTATTTATATAGAGATTGTTGATTCAGCACATTTGAGGTTGCATTGGGGTGTGCCAAGTCCTCAGGTTCTGTTGTATGCTATTCATGGCTGGCATTCCTGTGGCTAAGTTACCAAGTTCCAAACCATGAAGGCCATAAACAAGGCTTCCTCTCTAGGTTTTCCTTTATCTCAAATTGAATCATCTGATGTCTGCCTGGATCCCCCTCCACCTTTTTACATCATTATCATAATTCTATTTACCAAATATATTTCTCATAAACAGGCTTATATGTTTATCTCACATTAATGTAGTAAGGAATGAAGGTTATGTAATGCTTCAGAACCAAGAGAAAAAAATAATAGAAAGTTCAAATAGGTACGAGGAAGGGAGATATACTAATTAATGAATAATATTATTTTTAGACTCATGTTTTTAATTTTTTTCTCTTTTACTAAAGGGCTACAAGGTGTTATATTACTTAGGTATATATTACTTATAAACTTAGGACTAGAACAATTTTAAGTGACTAGAGATAAAATTGGAAAATATTTATTTACTTTTTAATATTTTTTTTTTTTTGAGACACGGTGTCACTCTGTGGACCAGGCTACAGTGCAGTGGCATGATCATAGCTCAATGTAGCCGCAAACTTGTGGGGTCAAGTCGTCATCCTGCCCCATCCTCCTGAGTAGCTGGGACTACAGGTGCATATCACCAAGCACAGATAATGTTTTTTAAAAAATTTTTTTGAATAGAATTAGAAATGTGATCTCACTACATTGCCCAGTCTGGTACTGATTTCCCAGCCTCAAGCAATCCTCCTGCCTTGACCTCCCACAGTGCTGGCATGCCTGGCCTACTTTTTAATTTTTGTAAGTCAGTCGTTAAATGATATAGTACTTGAAAACAAGAGGACAAATATTCATATTAGAGTTACAGTTTTTTAGTTCATAT